ACCGCTGACTCGTGGTGTCAGTTTCCAGACAATAACAGACACTTCAACGTAAACGCCAAAGCAAACCTGAGCAGGACATTAACACGAACAACCCATTTCCACATTCAAAAACATTTGAAACAGTCAGAAACATTGAACAAATGATTTCCACAAGGCTACCCAGCATGCTTTGCAGCTCACACAGCCTCTCTGGGACTCTCTCAGAGAACTTTGTGAGTTTAGGGGAAAATAAAATGAAGTTAAACAGAAACACACATCTTTGCTTTAGTCTGGGCCTTACAAATGTCCATGTTTTGGTGTTACTAATGTTTAATTATAAGAACTAAATTAGCAGAGACACGAGTCGAAAGCTGTACGCTCTCACTGGGGCGCGCTCTTTCTCTCTCTCCCACTGTGCAGGAAGTTTTGATAAACTGATCGTATCTGTGTGTGATCGCCCGCGAGCCAGATTAAACAACAACAATAGATTTATTACTGGGGGGAATATTGATGATGATGCACAGCAGCTTTGTAGTTAGTTTAAAACAATAGTTAACTACAAATAGGATCAATTAAGTGAGTTGATTCATTATAGTGAATGACACGAAGGAGACGTTTGACTCACATGCATCGCGCTCGCTTTTATCCCAGCTGAGTTATGCTCCGCCTCCTTTGGTTCCGCTCAAATCTCAAATAAGAGCGAGACGGAGACGCTTCACCTGTGATTTATGAATTGTTTGAGGAACATCTGGTCCGTGCAGCCATTTCATTGTAAAGAGAACTGGTTCCTAACTGTCCTATGTGGAGCATCAACAGGTCCGTCATTCAGGGTACAAAGATTTGGCAAGTCGGAGATGTCAGAATAATACTTGTGTTAAATAGGAAGCACAGTGTGTCATTTTGTTTTTAATATTGTTTCACATTAGAATATCACTACCAGTACTTTTATTGCAAGGAAGTCAATTTTGAAATGTAATTTCTTTGAATTACACTTTTGGGTTTTGATTGTTGCATTTATGATTCATCCATCCATTTTCTTTTACCCGCTTCTTCCATTTTGGGTCACGGGGGTCACCGGTGCCCATGTCCGGCAATCACTGTGCGAGGGGCGGGGTACACCCTGGACAAGTCGCAAGTCCATCACAGGGCACATTTATGATTCAATGCAGCAAAATAAATAAACGTTAAAGGTACTTGGTTTATTTACATAATGATTTTAATTGCTGGATGTCCGGCCCCCTGAACTGTTGAATGTTTGTAACTGTGGCCCCCTGAGCAGTTCAGCTGAATAGCGCTGGCCTAAATGATGGCGCTCCTCACCCTATCTTTAAGAACAGAGCCAAGACGTCCAATGGAAGAAGCTCATTTCAGCTGGGACCTCACCCCATCAGTCTGCTACAGTTTGACCTACGTATGAAGAGCACGCAGGTTCTTATGGCTTTATGTTCAAGGAATGTCTGATAGGCCACTTTCACAAGATAATAGACATAGGTTGCTCTACAAGCGTTACATTTGATAGAAACTGTAATTAACTGATCACCAGGCGGCACGGTGGCGCAGTTGGTAGAGCTGTTTCCTCTTAGTGAAAAGGTCACGGTTCAAATCCCGGCCGAGGACCTTTCTGGGTGGAGTTTGCATGTTCTCTCCGTGCATGTGTGGATTTACTCCGGGTGCTCCGGTTTCCTCCCACAGACCCAAAACATGCATGTTAGGCTGATTGGTAACTCTAAATTGTCTCTAGGTGTGAGTGAGAGAGCGAATGGTTGTTTGTCTCGTTTGTCTCTAAGTGTGATCGACTGGAGACCTGTCCAGGGTGTCCCCCACCTCTAGCACAGTGACGGCTGGACAATGACCCCCCACAACCTAAAAAGGAAGGAGCGGGTAAAGATCATATATGGATGGATGGAACTACAATGGCAGCCAGTGGTGTGCGCAGGTGGACTTGTTCACCTCCACTAACAGAACAGTTGAGGATTCAAAGACCAGCAAAACTAGCCAAGAATAATTTTCTGTTTGAAACTCTCTCAGTCGTCTCCTATCACTTAATCCCCACCCTTCCTATTCTGGGGGCTAGGACCAGCTGGGTAACAAGGGGATTACAATCTCAAACATCCACTTGAACGTAAATTGAAGGACTGAGCGCCGATAAACACCAGTAACACGATACCAGTAAACTCCTTCAAACGTAACAGAAACCGACCGAAACTTAAAGATGGATTTTTAACAAGACTCCTGACAAATATATTTAGGCTGCAGTAATCAAACTTGACGCGAACGTGGGAAAAGAGAAACAAAAAGAAAAGAAAGAAAGGAACTACAACACCAGTCTTGGCATTTGTTTAGCGGATTTAACGTGTTCTTTCACCACTTCAACCTTCTTTTCTGTCTTTTCCCAACAAGAACACATTAGGAACCGCAAGTGTGCTGAGGTCACTTATCGACTCCACGCTCCTGTATTATAAATCATCACTGAATTATCCAGGGGAGGCAGAGAAGGCGAGGTAAGACAGTTTAAGTCACAGGATCCACTTAAAGGAACTAAATGACTGTGTGCTAGACACCACACTCTCCGTGCATGCTGGCTCTCGTTAATTCTTTATTTCCCCCCTCTGTTTCCTGCTGTAAGGACGATCTCATTAACAACTTAACGAATTCATTCAGATGTGATGGTGGAAGAGTGCAATTTGAGCACATAACACCCGTTGTGCTTCAACGCCTACCTCCTATGCTTTCCCTGAACATGTGATGTCATAAATCAAATCATGCGGCGCTGCACGTCTGTTTTTCTCTCCACGCTTCGCCTCTTGCTTCAAAGCATGAAAACAAACAAATGTTTCCTGGCGCTCGGTAAAAACAAGAAACATCCAGTTGGGATTCTAAAGTTGGATGCTGATCCTCAGCAGGCTAAAGGTCACAACGATAAAGGCAAAGTAAACCGAGTCTGGATTACGAGAGCGTTTCGGCTGGAGATGTAGCCGAACTTTTATCGCTCTGCCAAAAACCCGGCGATGCCTCCTTCCTTTCCCTCGTGCCTTTTCCCCTTAGCTCAAAGCTAAAAGAAAACACGAAAATAATTTTGCAAAGCAACTTATTTTACTCTAAAATCTGGAAGCAATGCTGGAGGATTAACTGAATGAAATTAAGTCTTGTCTTTTTAGGGAGACACTAGTGTTTCAACACTCAAGGCCTCACAAGAACCTCCCAAAGCCATGGAAACGAGCGCTCCCTACTGGTGCCAAATGTTTTGTGAAGGTGTGAAGAAGGCTCCCAGCTCCGACACATTTCCTGTGCTAAAGCTTGGCTACGACTTGTCCTAGAACCTGAACATCAAGTCTTCCCGATTATAAGAAAAATTGAGAGTTTGCATAAACTAAATTCAAATATGGAAATCATAAATGAGAATCAATGTAATGCTACAAAAATGCTACAAGTATGGTAGTTTTTTGGGGGATTTTTTTCACGATAGACTCCAGAGATCAGAACAAATATATAAAAACAAATTGAAAAAACTGCGTGCATAATTTCCAGATTTCATAAAGGCAGCGTCACAAGCTGTGGCAGAGTTCGAACACATGAATCAAAGATGTTTGGCGGAACAGTTAGACAGAGCGCTAATGTAAAATCTTATTATGAACCATAAAGGCTCTGCTGATGTGCAAAGTATGATTGATGATGCTGTTCCAAGGAGGTTTCAAACGCATATTTTTCTGCTGCTCACACACTGTTATGCTTTATGCCCTATTTTAATCTGATTAAGAGATTAAAATGGGCCTCGCTGCTTGTGCAGAAGGCAGATTGTTAAAAAAAATGTGAATTGTGCAGAGTTTAAACTATTAGGATTAAAGCCTTTTACGTTCAGTTAAGACAACCTTTTATGTGTCTAGATAATACAGTATATTGTTAATGGGATGTATGCACAGGCCTTACAGCGCATCATGTTTGCATGTCACTTTTATGGGTTTGATGGGTTCAAGAAGTGAAAACATGTTTTCAAGAAACATACCAGGGAGTGTTTCTGTTGACTTCTACTAAACCAACATGACAAATGAAATGCACAGCTGAAAATGAAAAGTCATTCACCCGCTAGTGGTAAATCATTAAACAAGAACGCAGACCCTAAAGTAAACTCACATTTTGTGCATCATTCCGGTGTCACGGTTTGCACACTTTAGGCTTTTGTTGGCCTCTAAGAACTTAAGCCAAAAGAGGAGCAGGCTCCTAAAGAACCTGAAAGGCTGTGTAAACCAGGTGGATGACAGGAGCTGATAAGGATCTCCAATTCTTTTCTGCACTTTGTGTCCTCTCAATCAGAACTGAGAGGTGAAGAATGACACTTGGAAAGAATCAGCTTGTTTCTGCCCAGATCACTGTTTAATAAAGACTTGCAACGTGACCAGTCCTCTGGAAGAGGTTAAACTGATCATACTGGGCTTGAACCACTGACCCCCTGGGTTAAACTGATCATACTGGGCTCGAACCACTGACCCCCTGG